GTCCATGCGGTTCGCTTAAAAACTTTCTACGGACGATGACGAACTTTTATTTTAATTTGTTTGGACTGTCCCTTATGTTAGCATCGGGTCGATGCACTCTTAGAGGGGGGGTAATGCCGCGAACCATGCATTGGGTTTGTTTATTTGTGTTTTGCTTTTTCGGCCTGGCTGCGCCGGCCTGTGCTATCACTGTTTTCACAGCGTTTCGAACAAACGCTATCGAACAGCATTTCGAGCGTTCCGAACAAACAGCGTTTCGAACAAACGCTATCACAGCGTTCTCGATACAATTCGACTATTCGAGAAACGCTCGCGCCGAGGGATATAAATTCCCGCACAGCCGATGCCGCGACATTCGATCGCCGACGCTCACTAGCGTGCTCGTCGTTTTGCCGACCGCTGCTTCGCCGCCTGTGTATTCTTTCAGTTGTTAGGGGAGCACAAGCTCGCTCCAATAAACTTGTTTTCCTTATGGACAACTGCGTCGTCCTTTGCTGCGTGACAATATGATTATGAGAGACGCCGTAGTAAAGGTCTCCGGAAATTTCGACCACCAGGGGTTCTTTAACGAGCACCCAAATCTGATAAAGTGCGAGTATCTATTAAATTGGAGCGTGCAATCAACATCCGTGTTACCGAATTCAGGCTGGCTTTCCAAGCCACTTTCCGGATTTAATCAACAAGGGCACACCAAGTGCTATGCCATATAGGTATGCACATTTTCCTTAGTCTACCTATCATTACATACCAAAGCCTATGTTACAGAAACTACATATCTACAGACCTACCTTTAGGAGTGCTACGTTTCAGCATAGCCGTAATTCGGTAGGCGGCTATACACGTACAAGGTGCAGAGGAAGACAGGGTCAACACCCAAATTGCCTTGTCATTTTTTGCAACAAAGACGCGTGTGTACCTCTTTGGAGGTCCCGCTTCCTATGTATCCATGGGTCTCGCGTGGCATGGTCAGGCTCACAGCCTATCAATGATCGAAACTGGCTTAAAATAAACAAACAAGGCATACAATAATGTAATCAACAGCAATAACCAAGTAGTCACAATTATTATTTAAAATCACTAAAAATTGGCCTTTTGGGAGTAATCGAATGCTTCGTATTGCCACCTGGTGTTCTGTGCCAGCGAACAGTAAGCCAGTTCTGTGCCAGTGAACGAAGAAGATGAAGACGAGCAACCGGTGCCAGCGGAGACGTCCTTTTTTGTGTCTCAGATTTTGACAGTCGCGTCTTCTTGTGCGTTTCTTCGTGCTCCTAGCCCGTGACAGTATACTTGAAAGATTATTACTGTGTTGTAATTTACTTGATTCAAATTTACATTGTAGAAAGTTTCAAAGTATTCGAACTGCACGAATAGATGTATATTATTCCACATGTAACCCCCTCTAAAAGTAATTGATCGATTATTGGTTGATATGAGGGGTTTAATGTTCCAAAACCACCATATGATTGAGAGACGCCGCAGTGGAGGGCTCCAGGAATTTCGACCACATGTGGTTGTTTAACGTGCACCCAAATCTTAGCACACGGGCCTACAGCATTTTCGCCTCCATCGGAAATGCAGCCGCCGCAGTCGGGATTCGATCCCCCGATCTGCGGGTCCACTGAAAAAGGTGGTTTCACTGCAGTGGAAATCTGCTACACCGTGAATGCACCTTCGTAGATATAAGTTCGCATGTAATCCCCTGCAGAGGCGAGTTCACTGAAACAAAGGGGTGCTAGGTCATGAAAACATCTACTCAGGGAGAATCCGGACTGCCGCAAAGCCCCACTTCAAGGTTAAAATGATGTAGTCGGAGGTTCGCTCATAAGACCGGAGCCAGCCAATGTCTCGGGGAGAAGTCGAGGAGAAAAGCCTGTTAACAGGTGCAATTATTTACAGTATTCACATACTAATGGTTGCAACCTACTACATGATGTTGTAGCATCATGGAAGCTCTCTTCAGAAGTTTGATTGGAGCTTCTGGGAGCTCGTCTCTAGTGTCTCGACACTCACATTCTAAGCCGTTGTCTTCCCGAAATTCCCTGCAGAGAAAAGCAATTGAGGCCAGGTCAATCCAATGAAATTGTCTTTTTCACCTCAGCCCCCAAAATGGGAAGGCAAAACACCGCCTCCTTCCCAACCCAGGAAAGCAGGAAGAAGCACGCCCAGTTTGTCCCATGGCGAGGGAGAAAGTACTAGACAATACACCTTGCTCACGACACAGCCCAGCGCGAGGACGTTCGGTCCTATGTGCAGATAAACTTGTGTACTCAGGTGCAGCATTGTCTTCTTCGCCTCCACCCCCAAAATGGGAAGGTAAAACACTGCCTCCTTCCCAACCCAGGAAAGCAGGAAGAAGCACGCCCAGTTTCTCCCATGGTGAGAGAGAAAGCACTTCGCAATACACCTTGCTCACAAAACAGTACAGTGCGAGGATATTCGGTCCTACATGCAGATCAACTTGTGTATTCAGGTGCAGTGTTGTTTTCTTTGCCTCCACTCCCAAAATGGGAAGGTAAAACACCGCCTCCTTCCCAACCTAGGAATACAGGAACTCATCGTTGTGGTCAGCGGCGTCGGGCAGGCCATTGCTTGCGAGAAACTGTCGCCATGAAGGCGTCTCGGAGCATTTTGAAGAAATCAAGCAGCCTCGACTGCCAACAGTACTTCCTAAGATGTCACTCGGTCGGGTGTGTTCAAACGGGTTTTACGAGAGCTTCCGGTGGCCCTAGAGAATTCGATGAGCTACTTTCGTGTTCATGTCGCTCTAGGTGCATCTCTGGGAGTGCTGACCCGGAAGAAACCAGGGTAGGTTCAGCCGCAATGTCTCGCACGTCCAAGCAGCGCCAAGAAAGGAAGGCCGATCATAAGAAAATGAACATATTGCCCTCACATCAATTTATCAACTTTTTTGAAGTATAAAGGCTTGTTATGCCGGTCTATATGCTCTACGTACAGTAAATTTTATAACAACATGTTTTACAGGTTATCACCGGCATTCTATAGAAACTCAAATCATGCTACTATTCAAAGTTGTTTTTGCTACATTTGAACAAAAAAAACGCATTTACACAAGCCTTGTTTCAATTAAAAAGAAATATTGTGCAGGTTAGCAGGGTCATGACAATATACCCATTTTTTCTTTAAAATACCACATATCATGTTCTATTCAAAGCTCAATTTCTATTCGTACAAGGCTACAAAAAAATGCTTTGGACATGTGCTTGCCTGCTTGGGACATGCCCCCGCCTCACAAAGTGCATGATTGCTTTTCCCACCTGCATATTATCTGCACTAATTTGTTTATTTATTTGGTTTGTGTACATAGAAAGCACGAAGAGAGAGGAAATAGGGAGGAACAGGCTGACAACTGCCACCTATAGAAGCACGACACCTGCCTGCTCCTTCGGGAAGGGGAGACATAGAGGAAAGGAGGGAAGACGACCTGACAACTCACTGCAGATGACACGTATCTCAACTGCCACAACAGGCAGGAAGTTTATAAATTGCACAACAAAATGGTGCTCATGTTGTACAGAGAGATTGAAAGTATCCTCTTCTCTTGCCCTGTAAACCTTACCTCAAACATCGTCATCGATAGTTTGGTAAATAAAACAGTGAAAACTTTAAAAATGGAAATAGCTGCTTGACTGTGCTACGCACTTTCTTAGCTTTTTTACAGTAGGGGCGATGCAATTTTTTAAGGACGACAAATTATCTTAAGACAGTTCAGCGCAGCAGTTTTGGTACGCGGCAAAATTCAAGCCCTTTCTCAAACTCTGCCATTTTGACCTGGTGGCTGCATTCATACTTTTGAACATTGTCGATCAAAAAGCAAACATTACGCACATCCAAGGCACAACATCAGTAAACGTATTAGGTGGTGTGTTTCATTACTGGAAAATGCAGATATGTAATTCTAAAGACCCTAGAGCTTTTTACGATGCACTGACAATGTGACGCTTTGCATAAAAAGGTGGGTGTTTCTTACGCTTCTCTAAGGGGATACGGTACTGCCACCTACCCGTGGCTTTGCGTTCTACACAAGCTTTTGTTTCCCGACATTACTGCCAGGTGGCGTCCATATCTTTCGCAGCGCCTCTAGACAGAAAACTGCAGTCTTTCGACATTTGCAGCGAAGCACGCAGATACGTGGCCAATTCGATGAAGTGGAGTGGAATGTATACCAAGCTACGAAAGCCACATGATTTGCAAGTGTCGTTGACAAATCTGTGCTACTACACAAGAAACAGCGTTCTACAACAGGCTCCAGTCATCCAGTACTCTTCAGCAACGTGGTATTAACTTCATAAATTGTTCACCGAGAAACAGTGAGCACTAGCTACAATATACCCGGCTGAAAAACTTCGATGTTATGCTTTTCTGGACTTCATAAGAGCAGCCAAGAATTCTTGGTACTACAGAAAACCTTTAATCATCCTACCCCACTAACTACATACCTGATCAGTGATGTATATATTACCTGTCAAAACCTGTGGAAGCTCCTTCGCTCACTTGAACAAGCAACAGAATGGACAGACAACAGCCGTCATTTGAAATTTTTGCACAGTGCCTCAAGAAGGCTGCAGTCTTGTGTACTGCAAACCCCACAAAAGCCCCTCCGAAAAAAAAAAGCTTAAATGGGCACCTTGTTGACTTCCTGGAGCCGAAATTTGACTGCAAACTGTTCAAGTACAGTGAGCAGCAAGTCCAAATGTATAAGTGCATAAGCCGAGCGGAGTGGAAAGAAGGCAACTGAATGCACGCTGCATCTGAGCTTGTGCCGATACCATTTTGTACAGCTCCACATGTCAAAGAGATTGGCTAGCACTTACTATTTCTGCCATGTCAAGGCTTAGAACCATCTACTTTTATTCTTTCCCCAACACAGGCTGAGCAGCCCTGAATTAATCCGGCATGGGCAGAGAATCTTTGATTGATGTTCTTCTATTTTGTTTGTTCATGTGATTGCAACGAGAAAATGAGCTGCCACCACACACCCGTATTCTTCACAGTCGTTTTTATTTTGATTGAAAATTTGGAGACACGGGAAGTATGGGATGCGGGAAGTGAAGGGTGGGATCACGGGGCTAGTCATGTGGTCTCGGGTCGTGGATGGGCATGGAGTGGAGCACTTCGTCAAGCAATTGCAGCGAGCGGTGCAGGTGCACCTCAATCCAACATGGCGTCTCCTTGATACTTTGCCGCGGGTAGTCGGGGCCCCAGCCCTTGACAAAGCTCAGTCGCAAAATGCACAGCCGTCGAAGGTCGTCCACGCCGATGCCTGCGGCTGCAGACAAACCTGCAGACAACATATCCATGCAATGCTCTGTGAACATTTCGAAAGCAGGTACCTTATGGTACCTGCAACATGCTACTTTGTTCGTTCTCCAACTCTGTTACCTGACCATGACTGTAGAGATAACAAGACAAGGGCTGCAGAATGCTATTATTAATTTTCAAGTAGTGTATGTAGGAATCTGTAGAAGTTGAAAATTTTTTTCTCTGTGCAAATTTTGTAATCTCTAAGCTTTGCGTGCTTGTAATCTTTTGCACTCTCTTTAAATACCTTGTGTGCTTTGTGTTACCTGCTATGTTTTAATTTCTGGATTTGTTTAGGAATCGGGCATTTCTGGCATGAGATATAAATCAATGTACAAGTATCAATCTGTAGCAAGCTAAAAACATCTCCAGCCTGCCTTAGAATTTTATTTACCACTTAAGTAGCACGCAAGACTAAAACATGAAGTGTGACTGACAACTCTCATGTGATTCCTTCATGAACACGCAGCATTACACATATAAGAACTTCTGGCTTACGCCAGGTTTCCAGCCAAACCTCACATACTATCCGAACACTTATTATGTTTGTGCTAAATAACATACCAACAAAAAGTGACCTCACAGAACAAGCCCCACCAAAAACAAAATCTGAAATGGGCACTGTTGTTCACTTCCTTGAGCCGATATTTGACTCCAAATTGTTCAAGCACAGTGAGCAGCAAGTGCAAATGCACGAGGGGGGCAGGGCGATGGGAGGGACACTAGTCATCTACGACTGTATACAAACATGCTGTTCTTGCACAACAGGTTGGGTTACATAGCCAGAAAAGTCTATTGGCAAGAAACACATCAGGTAATTATCAATAAGCTAGTAGAATATGATAAACTTTGGATCAGAATGAATTAGAAACTAAAACAGGAAAGTTTCAGTGTGAAATTAAAAATGGCACATTGACTGATTTTTCTCCTCTATTTATAAACTTACCGTGCTGAAAATAACAGCATTAGAGTTCTCGTAGCACACTTTCTCAGAGAATCTAAACAGATTCATTATTTTTGCTTTGTTGCTTTTTCGCTAAAATTTCCAGCATAAAGTAGCTATGAAGGCATGCAATACACTCAAACCTTGATATAAGAAACCCAAATATAACAAAATATCGCTTATAAGGAAGAAAATTGGAAGTACTTTGCAATAGTTGTAGTGTTAGGATTATACCTGTATAAAGAATTTCCGGGTTCAAGGAACTTAATTGTGTGTCAGGTGCAACTTCCTTATAATGAGGCTTAAGTGGAACATTATTGATAACTCACTGATTGCAGGGGCGATGCCGCCTACTGAGGCAGGGCCCGGGATGTGACCAGCAACTGCTGCCGCCTGGGCAGCCGCTGCTGCTTGTGCTGTCTGTGCCTGCTGCTGCATTTGGCCATGGCACTGCCGAAGGTCAAAGACCTGCACAAGAGACCACACTGACACGCTCAAAAAAATCCCACCAAAGTGGCGCTCCAACCCAAATTACAAAGCAGGTTATGTCCAACGTGATTATTATGCAAAGGATGACAGCAGCATATATATTTTTTCTCTCAGGAGGCATTGAGCATCCTTTTGTGTTGGCAGCGCAACTTTCAGGTGAAGGTAATAGCGTTACGGTTGAAGCTCAAAGTAACAAGGTCATCAAAATCAGTAACATACAGTTGAGCCCCTTTATAAAAGACATGCATTGGAGAGCAATTCTCGTTTTTTATACAGGATGTCTCTTATAAGAAGTGTACCATGTACGCATTTTCTCATCAACCTCTATTTCAATGTGGGCACAATGTCATCTCTTAAACCCATTTGTATCTACCATCAGCGTCTCTTATAAAGGGGTTGGACTGTACTTCATTATACTAAAATTTAGCAATTTATCCAGGGTGTAGCCATTGAAAAATATTTTTTTATTCAAAAGGAGTCGCCAAACCCAGGTCAATAGCACAACAAAAATTAAAAACAAAAGAGAGCTATTTTCAATATTAAAAAAAAAGAAAACTGCTCAACCTGTAAGCTGGTGACTGCATCCACTGTTTTATATCGACACTAAGAAACCCTCTGCACATTGCAGTTTGGCACGCGGAGAAAAAAAAAAAACACGGCACATACACGAAGTGAATGATGAATAGGCGAAGCAGTGGGATCGTTCGGTGTTACCGTAAATCACCCGTGACATTGACCACTCAAGCATGTAAATGACTGCCAAGCGGTGTACAGTTCTATACAATGTTTATTGGTCATAACTGGCATATTGTGCTGAGCTGTGATTTTAATTTTGCCTTCACGATTAGTGCTTTGTGGTATCAGACCTAGCCTGAAGTTGGCAAGGACGAGGCCCGTGCTAATTCCCCTGGTGGTTGTTGGTTGTTTCCAGTCATACATAATGCATCGCAGAGCATTTCAAGACATCATCTACTGTGCAAGCTAGTCGTCGGTGATGACCATAGTGATCATGTTTATTGTCACCGTTATGACATAGAGTGGGTACCTTGCATGTGCTGTGCCGTGATGGCAGAAAGAACATGTGTGGTCTGGAATCTTCATCATCGTCAGCGGCGGCTACGATGCACAATAACAGACAAGCCTCGACTTTAAGAAGCTTCCCCTCCAGTGGTGATCCAGCCACTTCAACATTTGGAGCAATTTTTGGAGCAGAGAAAATGCTCTTTTGGAGCACCTTTGTATCGGCACTCGATTTTGGAGCAGCAATTGTAGCAGCAACTTATTTTACAAAAATACATCTCTCATTATTGCTGAAACTAAAGCTGTGATAGCAACCACAGTTCTATAAAACCGTATTTGTCTCAATTCTCAATTAATAATTAGAGTGTCACGTGCATGCCGATTTTAAAAGCCACCAAGAAATGGACCAGTCCATCAGATTTAATGCACTACTGAAAAGGAAGGTAGTGCAGGTGTAGCATTATTTTATTAAAGTACACTAAAAGCTATGACGAAAATTCCCAGAAACCGAACTGTAAGGAGAGTTTTGAACTTTCATTCATTTACAGAAGAAAGATGTGCATGTTGCAGCATTTACGTCCTCTTGCTCACCTTCTTGCTTAGTTCTTCCAGCTGTGAGAGGGTTTGGCTCAAAGCGGAGTTGCCTTCAGCTAATAAAGTTTGCCCAGCTTCAACTTGTTCCAGGCTCTTAGAACGCAGACCAGAAGAAATTATGTCTTCTGCTCGTTTCAGCAATGCCCTACTTGATGTGACCTTTTCTTCCAAGTTCTTACGAAGTCGCTTTTCGTCGACATCAGCACCAGTGTCTTGGTCTCCAAGCCTTTTCCTGCTTTCTGACCGCTGTGCACTCGCAGTTCTCTCTGTGTATCGGGCTCTAGATCTCCTTACACTTTGCAGAAGCTCTGTAGACAAGAGGAACTTTAGTGGCATCTCCATCATACCTGCTGGAGGTATGTCTTGTCTGGCGCAACCCGTTAATGCTTGCAATGCATAATGAGTAGCGGTTCTCATAAAAGCGCTTATTTTCGCTAAATCCTCGTTCGCAGTCTGCGTTGCCATGTGGCAGGCACAGCAGACACTTGACAAGCCTCGACAATAATGGATACTTTGGTTGACCTCCAGGAGACTTCAGTTCAAGTATTTTGCCCCAACGAACATCAATTCTTTCACCTCCAAGTGCCAGGAGGTCACTGTTGGAGTCACACTTTAACATATGCCACTCATCGATGGCTGAGGAAACTTCTTCATGTTTGATTACCTGTGGAAGCTGAGACACAAGGTACTTCAGTGCTCGCACTTCCGATTCAACATTTGTTGACTGCCAATTAAGGAGGCTAGCAGATTGAAGAACTCTATTGTCGAGTGGAAGCTTCTGAAGAAGATCCTTGGCACAGGCCAAGTAAAAAGCACGTGCTCCAAGATAAAACCGCTTCTTCTCACTAGAGTCCCACTCAAGCATTGATTTTTCAGTATCTGTACCAACTTCCGGCCTCGATTTCCAAAGGGATGCATCCATCACATCTAGCCTTTTCAGTTGTTCAGCGCTCTTGTCTGCAAAGGCTTCATGACGAAGAAACCGACTGAGGACTCGTTGGACTAGAACAATAAGTTCAACGTGAAGTATGTGCAAGAGCGGCTCTTGCTTTTGGAAGAGCAGCTGAAATCCACTGAAAAGCTGCGCACAGTTCTTAAGGAACAACACTTTGGCCAAAAGTTGTTTCTCAGAAAATGCCGACACAAGCTTGTTGTGTAGGCTTTGGGTGTCAGGTCGTTGACGAGATGAATTGCCCTTAAAAAAATAGGTGCGAAGCGCTTCAAACTGTTCCTCAACTCGGCAAAGTGAGTCTTGTAGTGTCAGCCAGCGATTAGAAACGTGGCGCAGAAATACATGACAAGAGATTCCCAAAGTATCCTGGCATTCTCTGAGTGCTTCAGCGCGGACAGCACCTTTGAAGTAGTAGTAAATATTTCTCACTACTTCTTCTACATCTAAGCCAAATGCATCCAGGCCTCTGCCAAATGCATTATGAACCTTATGAAGGTTGCAGTTGCCAATATCAATCAAACTTGGTGCCACATGCTTCTGAAGCTTGTTTCTTACGCTCTTCATAACATTAGGGCCATCACTGAAAAAGCAAACAAGTCCTTGCTTTGGAAGATCTGCTATTGCTTCTTCTATGCAGCCAACAATTATTTCAGCGGTTGCACGCCCAAGATCAAATGACTGGACATGTTCAACAACAACTTCCTGTTGGCTGCTGGAAAAATAGCGTACCAGCACATCTAGTTGCTGCACCCTTAGCTCTGGCTTTGGCGTCTCATCAATCATAATGGAAAAATAGACATTTGGCTGGCACAGCTCAGTCACCACTTGTCCTTTAAAGCAGGGACCCAGTCCATCTGATACAATGCGGGCCAACTTTATTCTGCCGCAACTAAACTTTTTGGCAATGTCACTGTCGGGGAACATGCAGCGATAAATCGAAGTTGCCGTGTCCTCCCCATGAAAAAGGAATTCCCTTGGCCACAACAGACAAAGCAAAAGTAGTTTCTGCCTTGCTGACTTGGTGCTCAAGTGATGTATTAGCAGACCCGTAGGAGAAGTCCAGTGTGCCTTGCACCAATTGGGGTGGAAGAAGATTCTCGTCTTTGTCTCTGTGTCTAGCAGCTGCATCAATATGTTTCTTCATCCCAGCATGACGCTTCACTGCTGCCGCTCCATGCTGTGCGCAAGAAATGGTGCAGTTGCAAAGAATACAAAATGCATCTGTATTTCGGGTTCCACTCTTGCACCACCGACTGATCGGATCATTATTGGAGTCCACCTCGTTGAGTACAGAGGCGTTGAACTTGGTGTTGCGATCTGAAAACATGAGCGAAACGAACTTTATGACAGTAAACTTTCCCAAGTTTTTTTTTCAGAGCGTGAATATAGGTAAAAGTAACAGGGTAGACAGAAAGAGCACTGACTTCTAACTTTATATCACAGAGTGGCAAGAATATATATGTGCCCAAAAAAGGATGATTAAAAACATGACAAAATACAAGCCTAGTCAATGCGTCAGTATAAAAAACTTGCAAATGTGACTACACACCAACTAGCCCAAGGTTCCACTCTTGTAAATTTTCCCACGACAAAGGCACGCTAGTAAAAAGAGCACGTAACTACTAGATTTATTTTTAGGGTAGCCCGTAACATAATGCCAACCTTACTTCATTGGAAGATCTAAATACCAACTCTAAGGCGCCAACACCAAATATTTGCGCAAGCATTTTGGGTACAGCCTCGACAAATGGCGCGAATCGGGATGCCAGTTTGTCTGTCGACCATTCACACCTAAAACTCGCGACCAACTTACAGGAAGTTGCCATGCGGATGACGCGTGGGTCTGACGGCCGCAGACAAACGCATTGCCCCAGCTGGCAAGGCGGCATAAGGCGCTAATGTATGTTGGAGGTTTGCTTCCTTCCGGCGCGGCGTGCGATGACCAGAGCAGAAATCGACAGCAATGTTTTCCTTAAATTAAATATTTAAAAAAGCTGATTGGGAACGGCACGTCACGAATAGCGGATTCCCAACGATCGGCGGCCGCTAATGCGGTAACATTACGGTGCTTATTGACTTGCTTGTGTTGACATGGTCGACGCTCAATCACTCTTTTCCGACTATTCTACAAGCAGCTCGCACGGTGGGGCGCCCGATCCGTGACGCGCCGGCAGCACATACGGCCCATCTAGCGATCTGCTAACGTCAACAAAAGCGACCCGCCTGCAGAAATTCGTAGTGTAATCCGCGTCACTCGCTCGTTCGTTTCGCACTACTATATGTTCCGAACGGTAGCATGTAGGAGGTGTAACTGCTGCACGCCGTACGAGCGATTGGGCGTTTCAAATGCGGATATTCCGCACCACGAAACAAGGCACGGCGCACCTTCCTAAGCCTACGTACAGCGCTCGGACACTCCGAACACAAAAACAATCAGTAGCGAGAAATCGGAAGAACTATAGGCAAGTTGCAACTTCTGTACTGATTCAATAGCAAAGTGCGGCCGGTAATAAATGCCAGCAGCGCTACGCGATCGCCTAAGCATTCACTAAAGTATTTCACGGGCGCTATTAAGAAATGCCACAAAATTTAAAAAGAAAGCGACTTACTTTTGTCCATTTCAACAGCGGGGGGATGACAAACATTCGCTGACTGGTTGTTCACAAGCACATGGCGCACATGCAACGACACGACGTGCTGTGCATGAGCGCGAAAACCTACAGAAAACACCCGAACGACACCGACGAATACCAAAGCTGCAAAGCACATGGTAAACAATTGCCAACCTAGAAAAGAATTCACTTGTTGCCAACTGCAAAATGAACATCCGCTAAATTTGGGTTCTTTCGTGCAATTTGGCGCATTTGGCGCAAAGAAAACAACACTTGCGCAGTAAGGCGCAGGAAGGTATAATTGTAGCAAATTGGCGCAAATGGCGCAGCTGGATCACTACTGCCCCTCTAAAACACATGCCCATCTCTCTGCAGTGCAAGCAAAGTGTTCACATCCGGCACACCACCTTCCTTGGCTTGCCAGTTTTGCCACCAGTTTGGCTTCGTTGCTAGACTGCGGTCGCGTCACTAGTGACGAAAGGAAAATGGGCGAGCGTGCTCTCCCATATCTTTTATGGCCATTCCCCCGCAGAGTACCCATATAGCATTTATAGAATGGGCAGCTTTTCGAGGCCCAACCGTGAGCAGCACCGAAAAATCACTAGGATACTGGACCTTTTCGAACGTTAAGTGGACAATTGTGTCGATTATAAGCACATCGTTTGCTGCTGCAAATCTTAGACTTTGCAGACGATTCTTCTCTTTTCATCTTATGATCGTTGGATGATGTAGCAAGTGCAGATAAAATCCTTGTACCACATTACCAATCCACTACTACAGATAATAATATAACTGTTGGGCTTTTACATGCCGAAACCAGAACATGCTTACGAGGAATTTATTTTCATCACTTATAGTATGAAGTGTCCCTAATAAGCAGAGTAGAACTGTGTTCTGATTTATTGATCAACACCTATTTTGATGCAGGCACACCAGTGTCTCTTATAAAGGGGTCCCACTGGGGTCATACAACACGGATGAACAACAAATCAATAAGCTTTATTTACTGTTCTCTACTAGTGTCAAATGGACACTGTAAAAGATGTTTCAAGTACTCCTCATATGTGAAAACACTGTAGAGTAGTTATGAAATGAAAAACAAAGGAAGAAATTTATACAAAATGCAGCATAAATACAATCGCACTCCGCTACAATGAACGCTGCTTCAATGAAATTCCCGCTACCACGAAAAATTCACGGTCCCCCATCAGCAGTCTATGGGAGTCAATGCATAAATATTGTCGCCACAACGAACACTTTTTCTTTTGCCGTCCCGCTTCAACGAAATTTCATGATGCGATTCCAGGCTCAGATATTTATTGCTATACAGTAAACCTAATCTTTAACATTTTGATGCACTTTCAAAAGCTGAAAATACGTCAACGAAGTCTAAAACATGCTTTGACACCACCAAAAACCACCGCTGTTCAGCAAGCTTGGGCGCCGCCATTGCTTGATAGCGATGGCAATGGAACTGCCCTGAATTCGTCAATGACAAAAGCAGGGCAGTCTTATTGCCAATGCCACCGCTACCGAGCGATGGCGGCACCCATGCTTGCTGAACAGCGGTGGTTCTTAATGGTGTAAACAGCGTGCTTTAAACTTCGTCGAAGTATTTTTGGATTCTGAAAATGCATCAAAATGCTAAAGATTGGGTTTACTGTATAGCCGCAGACAATCCGAAGCTGAAGCTCAGTTGCTTAGTTCATGGCTTCCTTCGCGCAGCTGCTGGGTGCATCTGCAGAACGATGCCTTATCCGATTCCTAAGCTTATCATTTTGTTCCTGCTTGGCCAGTGTGGTAACTAAGCAGAGCGGCTGTTCGTCTCCATTATCAACAAAATCAGCTAGCCCCAAGTGATGGATGATAAGAATGGCATAAAATAAGGCAAAAGCCACTGCTCCACGATGCCGTGCTGCCGTCTCGGCGTTTTGACGGCGGAAAGCTGCTGGTGTTAACGTGTTAATGCAACTGTTTGGCTCATTCACGAAAGCGGTTGTAGTCATTGTTTCAGGGTGCTTTTCACCATGACCTCGCTATGCATAGGTCAGAATCGCATTGTGACGTTGCTGGGATACAATAAAAAGCAGCGGACACTTTTTGAATTTTGAGAATAAACGTTCCTTTGTTTTGCTAGTTCAGATCGGCTATATTTTCTCAATTTCACCACAATTAAATTTTCGCTTCAACGAAATTTTTTCCGCGCCCCTTCAGTTTCGTTGTAGCGGGGTTCGACTGTAGTTACTTTCAAGTGCAATATCCCATCACTGCGCACCTCACAGCTAAAGGCAATACGGAATAAACATCATCAAGAGAAACATGAAGTGTAAAAAGAACTGCAGATATGACAAACAAAGGTATGCATAATACAGGATAAGTAAACATAAAGTAACAAATGCAATGAAAACAAAGAATAGACAACTGAACAAGAAATCTCTGCATTACATGCAATCTATGGATTGTACGTGATAAGGCAAACACAGCGCTTACCTTTATATAGGCACTTGGGTAGATTTTGTGCACAGCGTCCCCGGGGGCTCTGCCAGCTTCTCGGTCTAGGTAGTAGCTCTGCACAAAGACGCTGTGGTCGCTAAGGCAGCGCAACCACACGTCCCCTTCGCCACGCAGGTCCAGCTGCACTCCTTTGCCAATGTGCAACCTGTCATTTAAAGGCAACAGAGATGACACTTTCAGACTTCCATAAATGAAGGCGCTAGGAGCTCAATGAAGACTTCACTAAAGTACTAAAATGTACTAAATGTACTAAAATGTACTAATGTACTAAAATGTACTGAAAGACTAGTTTTCATGTTACTAACAAATTAATATGATGCACAGTACTCAATGATTGCGACAGCACAGTGTAAGGCTAGGTAGTGTATACACTTTCTTAAGCACTGTCTTCAATTCAGGTCCAAAGAGTGTAATTTTGACATGAAAGTGTAAATCAGAGCCTACATTATCATGAGACCAGACTTGTCACGACAGCAAGTGGTTATCTGGAGCAACCGTGCAAACTTGTCGGCATACTAATTAATTACGGCATCTCCGTGAGGAGGCGTCGAGGCAAGCCCTTGAACTCCCCTCATGGGAGGCCTAAGCCCGGCCACTTAAACCTACTGGTTTGTCATAATAAAGTTTATTCCTCCTCCTCCTCCGCGGAGTGAATGATGATGAGGGGCGAAGCAGTGAAATCGTTCAGTGTTACCGTAAATCATTCGTATTGCTGCCCACTCGTGCATGTAAGTGAGTGAAAAACAGTGTACAACTATATATGTACTATGTTTATGGGTCATAAGTGGTATGTTGTGTTTACAGTCTTGTGGTCTACGAAATGTAAAGCCAGTAGTTCATCTATCGCCTGAAATCGACAAAGACGAGGTCTATGCACATTCCGCTGGTGGTTGTAGATTGTTTACAGTCATATGAAATGCACTGCAAAGCATATCGAGACACCCTAAACTCCGAATTCGCTTGGCATTTTTGCAGCTTTGCCGCTGCTTCGCGAGCTCCCTCCTTCGAGGTGGCAATTTATCGACATTGTCCTTGGGTCGCCGCTTCTTGCGCCTGCAACTCCCAGTCCGCTTGGCATTTTTGTCCTTTTGTCGCCACCTTGCCTGCCTTATGTTCGTAACATCCATGGCATAAAGAGAATATTCCGTGGTTGTCATCAGGTACCTTGCATATTCCAACACGCTACTTCTTCATGGTCATCGTGATGGCATATAGTGGGTACCTAGCATGTGCTGTGCACGTGCTAGTGCGCTTATTTTTTAGCGTCATCACCATCACTTAAGAACAAACAATGCACAAGCCTACACCCTAAGGTGATTTTTTGCCCCTAAAATTCTATGTGCTTGAATCTGTGAGTACTGTACAGTGCAAAGACGGCCTGAAATTACATGGCCACACAATGTACAAAGACATGATTGGAAATACTATTAACCTCTTTTTTTTTTCAATACTTGCGGAAATACATGCAAGTAGGTAGCTAAAGCACCAGGAATTGTGACAGCACAAGAACAGTTCGAAACGACACACAAACTTTCTCATTGCAGCTTGACACGCTGATTACAAGACCAGAAAAATGGAGGTGAAATTTATGTTAACACAAATAAGTCGCACATTTTGTTTTAGAACATTAATAACAATCCTATCAATTTTTAGAACAACAAAGTAATCAGTCAAAACTCATCAAAAAACAATCTACACACAATTAAAGCTTTAAGCTGATTAAAAAGCACGAGCTTGCAGAACAATATATGCTCCAGCACATAAAATGCTCCAGACTTCAAAATCTACCAGATGAGAGCATAAAATATTCAAATTGCAAAAATATAAGAGAAATTTTAAATGCTCCCATACCCATGAAAAACAAACCACAAACAGTTGAGCCCCTTTTTAAGAGACATGCATTGGGGAGCAATTCCTATTTTTTATGCGAGATGTCTCTAATAAGCAGCGTAACATGTATGCATCTTCTCATCAACACCTATTTTAATGTTGGCACACTGGTATCTTTTATGCCCATTTGTCTCTTACGTCTGTCTCTTATAAAGGGTTTCAAGTGCAAATACGTGGAGCAGACAAGGTCACACTACAGAAGCAGAAGTGCTACTACGTATGTCAAAGCTAGCAGAAAAGACAGTTTCATAAGGTTACCTCGCTTTCTCGCTCTTCTCCGTTCTGTGAACGTTGGAGAGGGCCCCGAGGCAGAAGCGGTTCCCACCAGATGGGTCCACATAGCCATCAATGATTACACCAGAGAAAGACGACGGCACCTTGAATGTCTCGCCAACTTGCTGGTCAAGCTCAAAGTAGGCAATTGAGCACCAGTACTCCGGAGCTGCATTCACGCAAAAGGATATATCACAGTCAATAGGCAATTACATCTGCTAAACCAAATTATCAGAGCCATCGATTAGAAAGGAAAGACAATAATAAAGCCCTTTCTTGAAAAACAAAGAGCACCATCAGCCAGTCACCTTGCCGCCCACAAGTCAAACCGACCAGTTTTCCCGATTGCATGCAGCAACTCATTGCAACCAGTGCAGCAATATGTTATGTTGAATTCCAATGGTAGATTCAGATCAACTTTCCATGCAGTAATCACATTCCAATGGCAGATTGGAAGAGTTCATTGTGTATTTCAACTGCGAATAGAGAGAAACCGCAGATTGCAGATTGCTCCATGCCACGAAATTTCCGGCCCCACCGAAATTGGTGAATTTGACTGGAAGTTCCCATGACATACTCTGTGCGACTGCCTTGCATCTAGACACAGCCGAGCATTTACAGTTGCAGGCAGCCATGAATGACCAGGAACATGCTTCCCGCTCCGCGTTTTCTCGCCAGGCCTCCATGTACCAATCGCTCTGATCGAGACGCATGCGTTCCGATCACTCATCTGCCGAGAGCAATCGCACTTGGATCTATGCGCTTTGGTCGCGATCTGACCAAGCACTCACTATCTGCCATCGGAATCGAACATTAGTTTTTTAGACGTGCCTGGGTTGATGAGCATAAATACAATGGCTGATATGCTACTCTGAAATGTTTTGGACCTTCATACACTAGCCAATAATATTACTCAACTACATTAAAACTCAAGCATCTATAAATAGTATACCCAACAACACAAGTAGCGTGCTCTTAATTCCTTAAGTGTGGGCATTTGCTGATCCCCCTGCACAATTTCTTAAATGTGTCAGTGGATGCTTAACATCTAGGACTGAATTGCAATGCTTTGACCAGTAAGCAATGTTTGGGTCAATTCAATATTTCAAGTAAAAGAAAATTCATTCTCCCTGTGCTTGAAGTGCAGTTGTTGGGCCAGAAAGCAAAGAAAAAATGATTTTCAAAAATGCTCGACCTGCGATAAAACAGAATTCACAGTGGTAATTCATTTCAGCATCCAAACCCAGCTGCTTAAAACATCAATGCGACTGCTGAAAAAAAAAAAAAACTTTGTTCATGCTTGCACTAATTACATGGCATCAAAGGTCATAAAGAATTCTGGGCTAGCTTCAAGACTGTGTTTCAAAGAAATGAAATTCTTTCCTACAGATGTTGCCAATATCCAACAATGCAATGTGCCAATAAGTAACACTAAGAAGCCCTATTATCTACGTTTGGTCGGCATCTTTCATGAAACAAGTCTCTGTTTATGGTCATAGGACTACGTACTATACTGCAGATGCAAAATTTACCAATCTATGTTGAAAGAATATTCTCTTAACAGCCTATCTAAAAAATGTATTTACCAGGTTGGTTTGATAGTGTTCCTTGTACTGGCAAGTCCTGCTGCATCATGGAGTGGTGCTGCCCTGAAACAGCATAGCAAGAAAATGGAATGATTCCATCACTAGAGGGTCCAAGCATGGCTTGAAAAGTACAGCAAGACTTTTTTATTTATCATTTGTGAGAAAGGAATGTCCAGGACTTATTAATTCTTAAGAGATACAGGTAAACTCAGAAGCACCCTAAATGACAGCATGACAGCTTTTTCTACAGCCACTTTAAGTTCCTTTGATATTGTGTTGCGATAGCTTAACATAAAAAGTGGCTACATAGGAGTGAGACACCACGACATTTCAACACACGCTTTCAGCTTGCTTTGTTGTCTGCACTGCCCTCGCCTCTGCTCTCGCAGCATAGAAGGTAATCATCAGATGCCATATGTCATGGGGTCGCGACGTCGACGAAGGTGAGCAGACAGTACTTTGAAGAATTATCTATTTATTCGATCGAACTTGCGGCCACGTAAAAGAAAATAAGATTACAGCGCGACACGTGCTCTGATAGTGGCAAACAGAGCATCGGCTGTCGATCAACTGACAAGCAGCGAAGCGGGTCGGCATTTATACCCTTGCCATAGAATATTCTAGTGTTGTCGCTAGCAGCTACGTAGCTTCCAGAAAAATCTGTAATGTTCACGAAGTGGGCGTAATCTTAACAAAACGATCTACGACAGCTTCGAAGCTTCTCAAACATAGCTGGCACGGTTTGCGCTACATGTAGTGTAACGGGGCGATAACAAAGCTTGAAAAATGAACGTGGCAATAGGTAAATCCACGAAGTAGTAGCAGTATAATATCGTTAATCTGAATAATACCAAGGGAGCTGGAGACTTACCGTATTTACTGAATTCTACCGGGCCCTAGATTGTAACGCGCACCCGGTTTCCACGACGAAAAAAAAGAAAAGTAAGACATCAATTGCAACGCGCACCCATTTTTCTCGTTCGCCCACACGATCACACCACTAGGGAAAAAGACTCCTTTAGAAGCGTCTTCCGTTTAAATATGAGGTACGGGGGAAGCTTGTGCCTATCTGACGTGCAACGGAGCATTGCCATCACTCTAGTTTTACCGTGGCTCGATGTCAGCACGCGAACTTGCTTCACCCCCTTCTTTAGACGGCTGTGGTGCCAGGCATGTCGAAGTAAAGAGGCGTCTGGTCGGCATTCCCGATTTGCCCAAGCAGGGAGCCATTGTTGTGCCGCAAGTTTAGGACGAACCTCTGAAAACTGAAGCTTTTCTTCGTACTCCTCCGGCAACTTTTGGCATATGCCCATTCGCCTTCAGAGGGAAAAGCCTTTCCTCTACATAAAGTTAGTTAGCCAGCACCTGCTCGCTTTAAACTGGCTCCGCATTAGCCCTTTTTCTAAGGCTAACTGCACAGCCTGCACTTGGAGCAGTTCTGTCGTCATGGGCCGCTGTGCCGCTCACTGCTCAATCACATACTCACCGAGCAGCTCTTCAATTTGCGGAAACCGACCCTGCTGTGGTCCGCTGAAGCCTTTGCGTGAATCTTTGCTGTCGACAATATTCTGCTTTTGTTTCCGCCAGTCCAGCACGCACGTTTCGGGAACTCCGAATGACCGCGATGCAGCCCGATTTACGTCCATTTCGGTACACGCGATGACTTTTCTTTTAAAAGCGGCATCGTGGTGCACTCGTCCAGTTTTTGGAGTCGGCCCTTCCATGCCGTCGATGCTAATGCACACCAAGATGACGAACTCCTCAGCACACGTACGAAGTGCCGCACATGGGAAACACATAGGCAGAAATGACAACGCGCCATGCCGACGCACGTAGGGGGCTGCCATTTTGGAATGCCGATGGCCATAGAATGACCGCATTCACTTCTTTTTCGCACTCGATTCTAACGCGCATGCAATTTATGAACTTGCTTAACCGGAAAAAAGGTGCGCGTTAGATTCGAGTAATTACGGTAAGTCAGCTTAGAGTGGGCCTTCAGTGAAAACTGGTCCGCTTGAATATCCGGCTGCTCTCTAATAAAAGTCCAATCAAATTAATTGTGAAATGTAAAACTTAATATGATTCTTTCATATCACAAGTGGCCAGGAAGGCTGGTCGATGTGTTGCTGTGTGCGGACACAATTTCCTGCATGTGACTTAGTCAACTTGTATTTTAAACCTCCTCATAGCTGTTGTTACAGGCAGACAAGATGCACGCCAAATCTCCGTTTTAAACAGAAGTCAACTGGGCTCTTATTATAGTAGTGTGATTGTGGGTTTCCTTACAAGAGTCATTTTCCAACAGTCCCCTACACCTTCTTGAATTAAAGCAATGACAGAACAGTTAACGGTAGCTGAAGCCGCTTAGTGATTGCGACAGAGGAAATTTCAAACAGCCAAAGAAGTCACCAAAGTTCATGTCAGAACTTTGGTGACTTGTGAAGAGGAACAAAATCTTGATACACCAAAATGATGTGATAAGTAACAGAAGCAGTCCTTCAAAACTTAGGGGCATGTGCTGTAATCTGAAGGCTGCTTTGTCAACCAATTACACTCATTATGCGTGCGTGAATATTAGAATTTTGAATTCATATAGAATAATAATCGAGTGAATAATTGGATTTGACTATCACATACCTAGTGTTTAAAGTTTTGAACAACTCGACAGGGCGAATATCTAAAATGCAACAAAGAAATGACGCGACTTGGTCAAGATGGGGTGGCTAAAAGTAACGCTAACATTGTTACAGTAGGAATTCAGTTCAAACTATCACCGTAGTCACGATTCAAAAGCGAGCGCACATTTATTTAAAAAAATAACACCTTATTCCCCCACATCATTACTCTATCAAAGAAGGCTAGGGAACGGTCAAGGAGGCTGTCGAACTGCTAGCGTCAAAAAATAACCAGCGTTCTCAACTCGAATCTTATTGAAGAGGTTCAATGTTACTTCAATGAGTTCCTGATCCCAAGAAAGGATGACCCCTTGAAATAGTCGAAAGCTTACGGAGCTGCACTTTATCCAGGCATTACATAGAATCAATTAGCAATACCTTCCTCAGTGAGTGTATGTTTTTGACTGCAGCAAGCACTGCAGGGTTGCTGCGAGAGAACCTGAAGCCAGGTGACGTGGAATAGCTTGTGATCCTGCATGACAATTTGTAGTCTTTTTCGGTACTAGTCACTCTCCACGTTATGTGCTCGAGTACGTGGCCATTTTTCATTATTTTGTTGCTTCTTTCAATATTGCATAAAATATAGTGCATTCAATATTCCATTCGATATTGTAAATATGTGATTCCATATTCTAAACTACTAGTCACTACTACTGGTTCAAATTAAATTCGAGATGAAATTTCGCTATTTGCACACCCTTGATCATACGATTCAGTCGATGGTAATAAATTGTTGTTGTAAATCAATACTACATGAGTCAAGGGGCTTGAAATTGCCTATTCTTTTTAGTCTTTTTTTTTTTTCTCATCTCAATTCCAGTAGACCCTTGTTAAATGAAGCCTAAACAGGCCTTGAAAATATGTTCAAATTAAGACCATTTTCGTTCACAGAGAGATGAACAGGGGTGCAGAATACAAGTACTAGACCAATCATATCAGAAACAGTTATTTCATTTAGGCGGCAGTTCCGTTTAACAGATCTCTGTTTACTGAGAGTCTACCGCATGTGCTACTCCGCGAAGATCTAACAATCAGTTCTAAATATTACCAGATTTAATGAAGAGACTTAACTACTGAAGCGTCATTGTGGTCTGTATTAGCACCAGCACTGGCACCACATTTTTTAATGTACAAAACACAAACTTTCTTGCTGAAAATTATGTCAGTTCATCTCAAGACTAGAGCATCATATATATAGAGCCAAACGGCTGGCATAATCAATGTGTGCAATTTTTTTGTTTCCAAGTACAATAAATTATTCACAGTTGCATCTTGAAAGTAATTTCATCATTGTTCAACTGTTCAGCAACCGTGGCGACAAACGTCGGCCACTGTGCAAACAGTGCGGCAGTTGCAGCATAAAACTGACGTCGTAATGCATACCATCTTGCTGTTGTGATTTACAGTCATATTTCAAAAACAAAACCATTATCTTACGAAATAAATGCTGATTATAGTAAAAAGGCAGCACAATATTTGTCTGGTTACATAGTAGTTCACATCATCAGAAAATAAATAAGGAAATAAAAAAGACATTCCACTATTTTACCATCATTATCAGTTTCCGTGTAAGAAATCTCACCAGTCTAGCAATGCTGTGGCTGCGAACTTCTATTTCGCTCGTCCATGCATGTGGCCAAAAATACTGATGGACTCTACTTCAGGCACTTCTCCAAAAAAATCAGGAAAACCGAGGCTGGTGTTATACACCGGAAAACAAGCAGCAACAGTGGCAGCAACATCATTTCAAGTTAAGAGGGTAGACTGGTCTTAGACATTTTTTCGTTTATTTCTTAAGTGATCTTGATCAAACTGCACAGGATTATGCAGTTTTTTGTGTTGATTTCAAATATTTAATTAGGTTTTATGTAACTCATCTTGTTCCTGAGATAACTTAAGTACACACCCTATTGTTTAAGGCCACCATAGAAAAAAAAGTGCTTAATTAGAACTGATATTTAAGTTATGCCAACATTTATTTATTTTTTTTATTTATTTACAATACTGCCACTCTCATCCGAGAGCATAGCAGGAGGGCATACAAATGTGTGTACAAGAAACATGTGAATCTGCAGGCTTGATTCATGAGGAAGAACAAAAAAGAACATATGCACACAAAGACGGAATAATTGCACAACTTTACGCATAAACACGCCTATATTACAAGCTGTAGTAACAAGAAGAAGAAATAAACCAAAGAAACAAGTCCATCAAAAAGGTAAGAATAGTTCCAATACAAGGCTGCAGCAACAAAATACACAAGAAATTAACAGATTTGTAAGCTGGAAATGCTACACGTGTGCTGTTCGGTTAGCGCAACAATAAGTGTTATTTCTACACTGAATAATCTAGCATTTCGACGAACTTAGATAACGAGTCAGTGCTTGTTATCACGGGGTCGAGTTTATTCCACTCGCGTATTGCCATGGGAAAGAAAGAGTACATAAACGTGTCGTTACTGCAGGAATATTCGGTTATGGTGCAGTCGTGTTTGTGACGTGTAGGGCGGGTCTGAGAAAAAGATATGTATTTATGCGTATCAATCTTGTAACTGTTATGAATTAGCTGGAACAAGAATTTTAGGCGAGCGTGCCTCGCTTCAACTGACAAACTTTTTATTCCTGAATCAGCCAAGAGGTTAGTGGGAGAGTCAGTCCGTTTATATTTATTGTAGATGAACCTTATAGCGTTGGACACTTTCAATCTTTTTCATGAGGGTAGTCGAGTGCGGAAACCATATCGTGCTTGCATATTCCAGAAGCGGTCTTACGAACGTTCTATAAGCTAACAGCTTGGTAGGAGTGGGGGACGTCTTTAGGCACCGTTTTAGGTAGAACAGTTTGCGCAACGCGGCGGCGGTAATATTTGTGATGTGTGAATCCCATCTAAGATCGGAAGTAAGCGTAATTCCTAAATATTTGTGTTGCGAAACCTTACTTAAGGGTATGTCATTAATGCAGTATGTAAACATAGAAGGCTGTGTTTTTGATGAAACAGTCATGGTAACGGATTTTTTAATGTTTATTGTCATTTGCCAGTCAGAACACCATTTCGTTATTTTACTAAGCGACGTGTTAAGCATTAGGTGGTCCGTGTAGCTATTAATTTCCCTGTAAATAATGCAGTCATCTACAAATAAGTTGATGTTGCACTCGATATTGGAAGTTATGTCGTTAATAAAAATTAAGAATAATAACGGTCCCAGGACTGACCCCTGCGGAACCCCGGATGTCACAGGTACGGTCTCAGATGGTGTGTTTTCGAAGACAACAAACTGGGACCTGTTCGAGAGGAAGTCTTTTACCCATGCCGATATTGCGCCTTTGCCAATCACATTTTCCAATTTCCCAATTAATTTAGTATGGCCTACACAATCAAATGCCTTGGAAAAATCCAACAGAATGATGTCTGTTTGCGCGTGGTTGTTTATTGATAGTGCGAGGTCGTGAACTACTTCTGCTAGCTGTGTAATAGTTGATAGGCCGCTGCGGAAGCCGTGCTGATGAGGTGATAAAAAGTTCACTTTTTCCAAGTAAACAGTTAGATGCTTCAGGATTATGTGCTCAAGTAATTTGCATGACGTGCTTGTTAGTGAAATAGGCCTGAAATTTGAACCGTCATTTTTGTCTCCTGATTTGTGAATTGGTACTACCGTATTTACTCGATTCTACTGCGCCCTCGATTGTAACGCGCACCCGATTTTCACCGCGAAAAAAAAAAAAAAAAACAACGTAAGACATCGATTGCAACGCGCATCCATTTTTCTCGCTGGCCCGCACGATCACACCACTCGAAAAAACGACTCCCTTCGGGAGCGTCTTCCATTTAAATATAAGGTACGGGCGAAGCTTGTGCCCATCTGACGTGTAACAGAGCATTGCCGTCACTGTAGTTTTACCGTGGACCGATGTCAGCACGCGAACTTGCTTCGCCCCTTTTTCTCGACGGTTGTGGTGCCAGGCATGTCGAAGTAAAGAGGCGTCTGATCGGCATTCCTGATTTGCCCAAGCAGGTAGCCGTTGTTGCGCCGCAAGTTTAGGACGAACCTCTGAAAAGTGTGAAGCTTTTCATCGTACTCCTCCACAAAACTTTTCGCATATGCATGTTCCCCTTCGGAGGGAAAAGCCTTTCCTCTTCATAAAGTTAGTTAGCCAGCACCTGCTTGCTTTAAACTGGCTCCGCATTAGACCTTTTTTTAAGACTAACAGCACAGCCCACACTTGGAGCAGTTCTGTCGTCACGGGCCGCTGTGCCGCTCAAGCACATACTCGCCGAGCAGCTCTTTAATTTGCGGAAACAGACCCTGCTGTGGTCCACTGAAGCCTTTGAGTGAAGCTTTGCTGTCGACAATCTTCTGCTTTTGTTTCCGCCGGTCCCACACGCACGTTTCGGGAACTCCGAACGACCGCGATGCGGCCCGATTTCCGTCCGTCTCTGCACACGCGATGACTTTTCTTTTAAAAGCGGCATCGTGGTGCACTCAAGTTTTTGGAGTCGGCCCTTCCACGCCGTCGATGCTAATGCACTACTAGATGACGAACTCCTCAGCACATGTACGAAGTACCGCACATGGGAAACACATAGGCAGAAATGGCGGACGCGCCATGCCGACGCACGTAGGGGGCGGCCATTTTGGACTAGCCGATGGCAATAGATTGACCGTAATTTTTTTGTTCGTACTCGATTCTAACGCGCATGCAATTTATGAACTCGCCTAACCGGAAAAAAGGTGCGCGTTATATTCGAGTAATTACGGTATTTTTGCTATTTTCCAGTCTTCCGGAAGGGTAGACGTTAAAAGCGACTTGTGAAAAATTAGGCCGAGGTACTTGCTACACCATTCTGCATATCTTTTTAGGAATTCATTCGGTATGTCATCCGGGCCGGTGGATTTTTTCGGGTCCAAGTTAAGCAATAGTTGCATAATTCCAGCGTGTGTGATGTTAATTTCGTCAATTTTGTCAGTATTGTGCTGTTCCAAATAAGGTGAAATGCCATTATCTGTCGTGAATACCGAGCGGAAGAAATCATTATGCGCATTCGACTTCGCTACCTTCTCTTCTGCTGTTAGTGTAGACGACGCTTCAGGACTTTTACGAAAATACATAGACTAATGACTATAGATTGAAACTATGGAAGACGTTTTTGCTTTTAGGCCTTTCTTGGTTATTTTACAGCAAAATGAACTATCCATTTTCAAAAGCAGTTGGGACTGTGTTACAATTTTGATGAGTGCATAATTAAAAGGTCTTGTGCTCTAAATTCTGCTCCGATACTTGCATTCTACACACATACAGGTTCCCATTGCAAAAGGAACGATTGTTGTACCTGCCCGAGCTGCAGAGATATTGAAGCCTCAAAATTGAACAGTCATAAATTTACTTTTTTGAGAAAAAAAAAAAAACTAATCATATAGTGGTTTTGGGACGTTAAACCCCACAAATCAATCAATCAATCAATCAAAATGAAAAAAACTGAAAACACATAGCTTCTTCAAAAAGCAACAATCATGGTGCACACGTTTTGCAATCCTCATAAAGGTGCTCATAAATTCATAGCAGAGCTTCTAACACAGGTGCCGGCAAATCATAAAGAAGCCTCGAAGTCGGTTCCCAAATTTTTTCGCAGGTTCTGCATTTTAACAGTACCAAGAGTCTAAGCAGTTAGAATGACATTAGAAGAAAATTGCCACTTCCTGGTGTGTGAAAATTCGCAGAGAAGATAGAAAAATACTTGCAGAAACCAGATATGTCAACTTTAAAAAATGAATTTTTTGTAACATTTTGGTCCCACAGACCAGTCTGCCCCCTTAAAATGAAAGTACGGCCTTCGAAATAGCACCTCCCAAGTGATGATAGTGGACGAACACTGCACAGCCCTATTGCCAGACGGTGACAACAGTGGTGAAAAATTTTAAACGAAAAAAAAAAAGAAAATCCAAGAAAGAAAAACACAACCAATCTGTTTTATGACTGCCCTCACTGGAAGTGTTGTTGCACTGCTAGACAATATTCACTTTCAATGAAGGACAATGTGACAGTTGTTATTAAGCAAGACTACCTAACCGATTAACTGAATAACAAATGAGGACTGCCACACTCTTCTTGCGAACAGTGAACTTATGTCTACCTTTGACAAAACCACAATGAATAGCGCAGAAAGCTTAACCATGACTGGGTATAAATTCTACAAAATATTCTTGGAAACAATTTTTCCACCAAAAACCGCAAAGAAGTTTACAAGATCACCCATGAACTCTAGTTGCACAGCGTCTCGCAAGCTTTTTAAACATGTTTCAAGCAAACCAGACTGCTTTCCAAGACCACTTCAGGTTTATCTCAGAAAGAAAAATAAAACTCTAGTCCTAATTAAAACATCAGCATCAATGACAGCTGTCGGCTTTCCATCAAGAGAAAAAGATTGAGCACACCGAGTACCACATCCAGGTATAAATGAAACAGGAAGAGAACCCGACATGCACCCCCCATTTCATCACAAGAGATGGAAGGAGGGGAAAGAAAACTGGAAGGACAGGATTCCTCCTGCTTGAGTGAGTAGTAGATCAAATAGGCAATGCAGCCAAGAAAGTATAGTGCAATATAAACAAAAGCATAAGCAAGGTCTCTCCTAGGAAAAGATCGATATATGACAGCTGCCAATTATCTCAGACGTGGCACATACTGGAAGATGCACCAATTACGATTAAAAAAATAAATAAAATGCAGAGTGAATCCGACACCTGCTCCGTCAAATCATAAGAAGAATAAATGGACAAGACTCTAACAACCGTCTGTCTGAAACAGACTAATTAAATGGCAAATACAATTTAGGGTAAAGGCGAGATGCAAGAAAAGACCACAAAATGAAATGGGATTGCAACGTACAGAAAGCTGGGTGTTGTTGCTGTTGCTGCTGCTGTTGTTGTTGTTGTTGCTGCTGCTGCTGCCGTAACGAGTTGTCCGTGCCGGCGGGGGGAACCATCGTTTGTGTGTACGACAGGGTGCTGTTGCCCGTCCACGTGCCCCCACCTGGTGAAGCGAAACAACAATGCAGGTGACCAGGGTCTTTTCTCCTTGAACACTACGCAGCCATAAAAGCGCCACATAGACGGAGGACGGAAGGGAGGGGCGACCAAATCTAAAGCCAAGTCGACACTGCACCTACTCGCCCTTTTGCGTGTCTGGGTCCCTCCCGCCAGACACGCTGCGTGTCTGGGTTCCTCCCACCAGACACGCTAACCACCCTCCCCCTTCTGTCTGGAGCTTACCAGACAGAGGAGGAGGGGTGTGACGCATTGTAGAGCATCTGCAGCTCAGACGTACACTGGCATTGTTGTCTGGTTGTCGCCCCGGACTGACGTGTGAATGAGAGAGACAGACGGCGTCTGGCACAAAATACGTGACGCCACGTATGGATCACTGGGCGGAGGTGAGGGTGGCTTCTGTCATTATTATTACTTTCTTATTTATATGCATGCATGTGCACTAAATAAGAAATCACCCTCCAACGTGCTTTTAAAAAATACAAACTTTTAACAAGAATGCTCATTATTTAATTTTACTGGTGATTTTACAGCTATAAGATCACCGTTGCCAGCACATGCTATGCACACTGAAAATTTCTGTTGCCAGATCAGCTTTATCACCCTCTCCGCAAACGTTAGCAATACCGACACTGTACAGCTCACACAAGCATGACGGGTCAAGCTCAAGTGAAACAATGGCAAAGAGACCAGAAGCTTGATTACTTTAGTGTTTGTGTTCCTTTCTTTTTTTTCGAGGGAAAGAAGGGGGCTAGCAACCGGCGCACTCTATCATCAATGAGGTCTACGGCCTTTTTTTTACTGTATGTTCTGCATCATTTATCGGTTAGCCTGCATAAAAAATATAATGGCACTATTTCTTGTGCAATTTTTAATGGAATTACGTGCACTAGAGAAGAGTACGAGGGCACTAGCTTAACAAACTGGACTCCCCCAACAACACTTCTGAGATTACACCACGCAATGCTTATCAATAATTAGACGTCATGCATTTATCCGAAGACTTTTTTTTTTTTTTTCTTGAAGAAGGCAGTCGGGTCCAATAACAATAATTCTACGTCTTCAAGAATAATAAAATTTGTTGGACCGACTAACTTATAAATTAGAAGTAATGATATATATATATATATATATATATATATATATATATATATATATATATATATATATATATATATATATATATATATGTGTGCTAAAAAGCAAGTGGACATTTCAGAGTGACAGAAGGCTTATGTTCTAGGTTAACAAATATGGTATGAGAATTTAAAAAAACAAGGTGAAAGGAAGTATTAACCTGTGCTTGAAAATGGTTGCATTGACTGCTGCTGGTTTATTCCGTTCATTCCATTTTGACGTAAGTGTGGGGAGAGAGGAGCGATGGTTGTATCCACTAAATAAAAGGGAGAGAAAGAGAAAATACAAAATAACTTTACACCAACATATACTCACACCATACATGAGAGATACAACACTGAAGTGAAGCAGGAAAGTATACTTTGCAGGTCACTGTTCACACAAGAGAAATACTTTGCTGAGCCTAAAATTTAGCCAGTTCCACAAACATTGACGTTCACCTTCTAAACTGTATGGGTAATTGGCATTTCGTGCAAACATTTCCAGCAAATGTATTACACATCTTTAAAAGGGAAAGCCCTCCACATACTTTAATAATGTCTGTCAAATGAGGATATTTAAGAAAGGATAAGTAAAAACAAATAAGTTTGGTATGATTGCTCTTTGAAAGCTGTTCTGGTTTCTCTGTCTGACAGAGTTTAATTGAGATCATAGATGCAATACTTTTTATTTTAAATTCATGGCCTCAAATACTATGGATATAAAAACATCTATTCGATGATGACAAAATGTCAAAAAGATTGATACGGTGAGCCTTGTTTGCTAATAAGTATAATGTAACCACTTACCACAAGATTTAACACAGTGTAACAGCATTTGCAAATAATTTTTTTATCAACTACATGGTTGACGTCTTCTGCGAGCTTAGAAGCTGAACCAAAGAAGGTAGGCACCTAGGCAATTCATAAAAGCAATCACAGCTTATAAATGCAACAATTTTATTTTAAAATTAAGATACTTTTCCAATTGTGACAGAACCTGAACTGTGCTTAATGATTAAATGACTTAGCCGCAAAGAAACAAATCGGCACACTGCATTTAAAGCAAACTCTATTCAGCAACAAAAAGACCTATTTCTCCCAGACAGTTACATAGAAAAATTGCTTTTGCTAAGCTGAACTTCGAAAAAGATGAGTACACTGGAGGCCCCTGTCATCGTGGTAGCTGGGATGACATTGACCCTTGTAAAAACAGTCAATGAAAACGAAATTGCTTACCGCACCAGGTTTGCTATATAATAAGACGTGGTAACAAGAAAACAAAAGCAAGGTGTGAACGAAAAACATGAGCAATAAATGGGGCAATTAAGGCAAAATTATGCTGTAAGTAACAGTGCAATTACCAAGAGTTAGGAGGTCACTGGCAGACAAACTACGAAACTTTCCCATAATGTTGCGGGTAACTTGTAAAGCTACCCAAAAACTGTTCAGTTTGCCTGCCTTTAATGAAAAGAACTAAAAACACAAGATAACCGTACCTAGCATACCACTTGAGTCTTTTTATTCTAGTAGAATGTACTGTTTTCCTCTTAACGCAGAACGGCCAAACAGCACACCAACCTCGGTTTCATAAACAGCGGGCAACACCATGAGTGCTAGAAAGATTTTTTTCGCTGCTTGCGCTTGCAATTAATTAATAGAGCATGTCACGAGAGAGATAGGAATACGTATCGTACAATGCATCATGCAATTTAATGCATTAAAAAGCCTCACAAGTTTGTCACAAAATATGACACATTCACCGCAAGAAAGGTATAATAATAGTTTATGAAGGCTACAAGTTGTAATTGAAGTATACGAAGCAATACAAAGTGCCCAAGGTTTCTTTGTAAACTACACCCTGAAACACGCAGAAATTTGTGTGAATTCAGCTTTTTTTTTTTTTCCCACAAGCTTCTTCAATACTACCCTATAAGTATAAAATGAGTACAACAAGCAAACGGAAAGAAAAGGACATACAACGTAAAACAGGATGCAAGTTTTTGTCAGAAGTTTCATAGCCGCTGACTGCACGTCTCAACAGGCATGGCCTACACTGCTCTATAACACCAGAGAGCTAGTATAAGGACGGTGCGCACACATGCTACGAGAGCTAAAACATAGGATGAGCAGCGGACCTGTTCTTTATCAGCGTGCCTCTGACCTAAGATCACGCAAGAAAAGCACATTTCACGGAAAGCCAATGGCACCTGAAAACGCACGACACAGGGGGAAGGAAAGGGCGTGGCAGCGACAGGTTACCCTGTGCGGACATACCTGAAGACGTGGACGGTGCATCACGAGAACTAAACGTATCTATGCTGGTGGAGCTTGTGGGTGCTTGGACTGCCAGAGATGAAAAGACAAACACACACGAACAACAACACTGACGAAATGAAGACACACAGAACATGAAACAAGCACAACAGACACACTGACGGCATTTTAGCATCTGTGGAGCAATAAACTTTATGTGCATCTAGTCAACTTTCCTCACGTTTACAGCAAAAGCTGTTATGCGATCAAAACACGAGTCACGAGCGGCACCATAGTTGTCGAGTGTGGCACCGCCAGTGCTTGGAATTCATTTCTGAACTCTCCTTAGCTTAGGCAGGCTTGTTATCGGGAAAGGAATCGTGTTAATATAAGTAATAAAGCATTTTAGAACATGAAAGGGACAACCAGGTGTCACACAATGCAAACTGCGTAATGAGTGGGTTGTCCAATGCTCCAACCCATTAAAAAAGCTTGTTCTTGATCACCTATTAACTGTGGCCCATACCCTTTTCAGGCATAATTCTTCATAGTTGTCAGCCACTGTATTAAAAAAAAAGCAACAGCTTTGCCGCAAAGGCGAAGCCAATGAATGCGATAGCAACAAATTGAAAGGTCACGCGCAGAATGGCAAGCAGATCGAAACGTGCCTCGTGTTTGTCATGCACAAATGACACACGAAACGTCCTCCCAGGTACAGATGAACGCGAATAAGCGTCTCAGTTATTACTTCGCTGTGTTTGAAAAGTGCACAGTCTCCTTTTCACAAAAGGAGATTGTGCAACGATTGCAGTGACTTTTGTGCGCTTGGTAACTACAACAGAATCGTTCCGGTGAAAGTCCGAAGCAGCCAAGACGTACGGTCCTCCCCACCGCGAGATAAGGGCGCACGAGTGAGCGTACACCCACCTCCTCTCCGCTGGGCAAAGTACGCGTGGGAGATGAGAGCGCACGCCACCGCGCCGTGATGATGTGACAACACGCGCTCATTGCGCCACTTTGCTAGTAATGCTGAAAACACGATAGTTCCTCTCAGAGATGCCAATCTCTAGCAGTAAGTGGTAGATATAAATAGCTTGCAGTTTGAACGTTGAAGGACGAGCTCCTCAGTCGCTCAGTACCGTATTTACTCGCATAACCCTCGCACTTTTTTTGGCGGAAAACCGATGCAATGTTGGGGGGTGCGAGAATTACACAGGGAAAACTTTCCACGAAAACGTACAGAGCGAAAAAGAAAACGAAGTGGCCGCAAATTGGGATTCTCACACCAGCAACTAAAGGCAAGCTTTGAGAAGTACTAATTAAGAGTTACCTGAACAATAAAAGCACAGGTTCAATACAAGGCAAGATTTATTTGAGACACAAAAGGCGCAAGCAAATAGTCGAGAATTAGAATACCATACGCAAAGCTTGTGGGCATTGCGGGCGTAGCGGTAGCGTTTGTCGCTCAACAGCAGCCCTCAAAAGATAAGCGCAAGACGTGAGTATTGGGCTGATGGCTTTTCAACAGAACCTTCTGAAGAAATAAAGTTTACCATCAATCCCAGTTTTAGGCATCAATCCGGCAGGCCCACGCGTCTTGGTGGCTTTCAGCTGCCGTCACCAGTACCGAACACAAAACTCGTAGACTCCGAAAGGCCTACCGACGGCCCAGTTGCCGTTGTTTAGTGCATGATCTATCACTTTCAACTTGAAAACAGCCGTGTTGCTTTAGTATCGCCCCATAATGTGACAAGATTACCGACACAACATACAAAATATGCCGCAACGCGCACTTGCCACTTTGGCTTGACTTAAATTGGATCGAATCTCCGTGCTATGTAGTACCCTTGATGCTTAAGAGATGGCGCTAGATGGCACACGCTATCATCAGTGGCTGGAACGAGCAGACGACATTATTGCAGCAGTTTTCGGAGGTGCGATAATTACTTGAGGAAAAAAAGAAATCGTATTTTTGTTGGGCGATGTGGGGGCTGGGAGAATTATGCGAGTGTGAGAATTACGTGAGTAAATACGATAGTTAACGTCGTGCACTCGCGTCTCTGAGGTCGCAAGTTCAATTCCGCGCGCCGGCATCTATTTCTGCATTACTTTTTTTTTTCTTGAATTTCCATATATATATACGGAGAGTGACGGCGATGCCGGTGGCCAAATCCAACCGAGAGGGTCAACATAATTGCGATCGCAATAAAAAATTGGACGAAAATCCTAGCAATTGTGTAGCGAATACCACGCTTCTCCGAAAAATGATGAAGAATAGCGTAATAAATGGCGACCTACTGATAAAAAATTATGGTTATTTATGGCATGGTGTGTACCGAGCAAGTGTGCTTGCAACAGTTACCCAAACAGTGTATAGAAAAGGCTCTGAGAGGTCACTCTTCCACATTTCGCTGTGTTTGTGCTGCACATTCTGCGGAGGCCTGGCCGTTTTTTCTTGTCTTTCTCTCTCTCTCTGTTAAACACATGTGAGTGCAGTGCAATTTGAGGATCTTGCAGTTCAGTCTGATCAGGATATCCTTAGATGTAGCCACAGGTTGGCAAACTCCCCCATAAGCCAACTCACAGATACAGATCGGGCCAAGATTCTGAGTGAATAATATTTTGGTGACCTTGAGTGCGAGTGAGTCCAGTTGAGGAAAATATTTGTGAGTCGGAGTCCGAGAGAGTTTGGCTGACGGGAATATTGGTGAGCCTGAGTTCGAGTGAGAACTGAATGCAAAACATTTCTTGAGCAAGTCTGCGTGAGCTTTACTTTTAATTGCCGACCTTGGTCTTATCTATTCGTCTTTAGCATTATTATCAACCTTATATAGACATGCGTTGATACTAGAGCTGCCGACACACATCTCAACACTCTAGTACTCATGCAGCACCTCAATATTGGTCAGAGAGGTACGAGTTGAGCAGGGTGGGGGGGTTTCATGACCACCCCCTGCAAACTCTTTCACAGCAAGTTCTTCATAGAGATATCTCATACAAGTCCCGTATTTGATGAAAACATCCTTATTGGATGGAAACCACTGATAACCCATATATAAAAGTACAGGACCAAAGACGTATCAGAGAACACAGATTATGTGAGATGTCGACGTTAAAAAGCAATGCCACCACGATAAAAAAAAAAAAAGCCAGTTTTGAACCAATGAACTCTTGAGTCAACTCACACAGACTCGGGTGAACATGTGAGTCCGAGTCTGAGTGAGTCCAGCTGAGTAATATGTTGCTGATATCAAGTCCGAGCGAGTCCATTGGAGAAAATTTTTGGCAAGTCTGGGTTAGTTTCAATTCTACAGCTGAGCTTTGAATGTTGCACTGAATGTGTCGGCTTACGATGACAACTCTCTCTACCATCAGCCAGGCAGGCAAGGTGTCACACCGTTAAGCTCCAGGATGTAGGTTCTACTCCCCACCATGGTGACCACATTTTGATGGGGGTCAAGTGCAAGAACATTTGCATTCTTAGATTTTGGCGCATGCAATCTGAATAGTAACCCCAGAGAATATTGTGTGCCTCATAATAATTTCATTGTTTATACGGATAAAACTAAAGAACATTTATCTGCATACCCCTACAAAGCTGCAAGTTTAAGGTGCCACTGGAGGCAGCAATACTAGAGATTCCCTATATTTTTCGGTTTTTAATACAATCCTATGTTGGATCTATTGGGTCATTTGCATTAGACACAATGCTATAATGACTGAAAAATTTAGGGTTAATGCACAAAATGAATAAGCCGTAATGCAGGAGCTTCCGAATCGGAGTAAGGGTTATCAAAGAAAAAAAATTCTTAGAATTGACATAGCTTCTGAGCTAACAAAAAAATTGTTCTGTTTTGAACTGGCACTGGCAATGGTAGGCACTGACTGAGAGTGCAATTATCTTAATGACAAGCTGCTGCCTTATTGTTTCTGTGTACGGTAAATTACTGGGAAAGCAATTTTCTGCTTCGCAAACTAGATTGATAAGTGTCATTGTTGTTGCTGCTTTTGGAAATAGTACAAATGAGTAGAGCTCTGGCTCGCACACTTTAGCGCAGCAAGTATTTTTCATTTAATTGCAATGAATTAATTATCTCAGTTGCTTTGCTGTACTGCTGGAATGACAATTTCGCTTCATCACTGTTGGGCCCCGCCATGGTGGTCTAGTGGCTAAGGTACTCGGCTGCTAACCCGCAGGTAGCGGGATTGAATCCCGGCTGTGGCGGCTACATTTCCGATGGAGGCGAAAATATTGTAGGCCCGTGTGCTCAGATTTGGGTGCACATTAAAGAACCCCAGGTGGTCGAAATTTCTGGAGCCCTCCACTACGGCATCTCTCATAATCATATGGTGGTTTAGGGACGTTAAACCCCACATATCAATCAATCAATCATCACTGTTGGACAGCACAACTCCCACTTCGCTTTCATCCTCTATTTGGGAATTTTTTTTCGAAAAGATCATTTCATAAATATTGTAAATTTGAACTACCACCAATCTTATAGTGCCTGCTATAGTTTCATTTCAGGTAACACTATACAGATTCATTTCAGTATTAATTTCCTATCAAAAGCATAGGCTAATAAGTGCTTATCATTACCAGTTCCAAAAACAGGATGGATAATTTGTCAGCTAGGAAGCTTCCTTGATGTTTAGAGATATTTGTTTCCCTCACAAAACCTTCATTCCAATTTAGAAACTTCGCATTACTGCTGAACCCTTTCGTGAATTAATCCTTAATTTTGCAACGACTATTACCATTATGCCTAATGTGAACACACCCAATTATTCCTGCATAGTATTAGGACTCTAAAAAAAGCCACAAAAAATAATACATGGCATTACTTCCACTTCTAGCTGTGCAGTCAAGCTGTGGTGTCTTGTTGAAGTTCCCAGGGACTACTACAGGTTTTTCTTGAATACACACACTGTTCAATCAAAACACAGTTCCGAAACAAAAACCCCATTCACAACAGGTGGCTGAGTCCACCAAGCAGAGCGGGCCAGCCAGGGAGTGGAAACGGAAACACTTTGTAACACCAAAGTGTGCGCTAGTTTGCACTGCATAACCTAAGCTGTACATTGGCCTG